ATCCTCTTTTGGTTTGAACACTTGTTGTAGAACTCAATACCCAAAACATAGAAAAATGAAAGCGATTATTTTTAAACCCTTGAAGGTTATGAAATTGCATTTTAAGAACACTTGAATTTAATTTGAATTGAATTCTCAACTCACTTTAAAGATGTAATTGGCATTAAATAAGAAACCACAATTATTCCGCATAATTTATGTCAAATGAGGCCCACATATCCTTTGGGAATATTAAATTGACCCACTCATAATAACAACCGAAATAGGTCATTGCTAATTTATTACACGTTGAGGAATTATCCGTAACATTTTTTTCGTTATTTTGAATTTTGAACTTGACATTGTTTTCGTTTCTGATTTCAGATCACAGCCAGAACGAAAACAATTTGACTCAAGTTCAATGAATAAATAGCCACGTTAGGAACTACCCCCTTTGTGCCAAGATAAATGGTTAATTGGTCAAGTCAACAACAATAACAACAACATCACGAACCATGGTAATTGCAACAACAAATGTTAAAATTTAAATTACATTAATATGAGAGAGTGGGAGAGCGAACATGCAAACGAACAAATAAACATTGGCTTTATTAACACACAGCAACACCAAAAATAACTTCAGGGTTACACTCGGGGAAAAATGTTGAGGAAAAAATATATGTATTTTCGAAGTGTGTATAGGAAATTTATACAATTTAATGGACCGAGACAGCACATTTGTTCCATAAACTGAACCTTTTAGAACTTTCCATTTAATTTGAAAGGTTCTGTTCGAAATATTCTCTTCCGCTAGATCTTTCCATCGTATTCTTGGCTCCCTGAACTCTGCATGAACCATCAGTAGGCTCGCTTTTATATTCTCATATACGTAGATCGACGCATAGATTTTTCAGAGAATTTTTTTTCTGCATAGTTTTGCAAGTATTTCGAACTCAGACATTTAAGTGGATTAAGCTGTCGAATACGGTTTCATAGTCGACGAATAGATGGGATATGGCAATGTGTTTTTAGTATTAAGGGTTTTTGGTAGTGCGAACGTCTGGTAGTTAGCTGGCTTGTGACAGAACATTTGTTCCATACATTTTGTTACAGGCGCGTCAGTTTTGTGCGCAGCTCTTCCAATTTGAACGACCATGTTCCAGGAAATGTTCTCTTCTACTTGATTTTCCATCTAATTCGTGGCCGTCCCCTTCTAGGTGAGCCATAAAATGGCTCAGCCATCCTCACAACATGACCTAGCCAACATAGTCGCATAGTCGATCCGTCTTACTATGTCGATGTCCGAGAATAGATGGGACAACTTATGGTTCAGATCGGCCCATAGATCTTTCGGAGAATTTTTCTCTCAAACACTCCAAGAGCTGCCTCATCTGCTTGCGCGAGTATCCATGCTTCAGACCCACATAACAGCACGAGTAGCATTAGCGTCTTGTAGAGTGTGAGTCTGGTCGGACGGGAGATGGCCTTGTTTATAAACTGCTTACTTAGACCATAGTAGCATCTGTTGGCCAACACTACTCCGGATTTCAAAACTGATGCCATTAGTTTTATTTATGGCGGTACCAAGGTATATAAAATCTTTTACTACCTCGAAGCTGTAGTTCTCAAGTTCCACAGTTGGCAAGCTTGATATTCTCGCCATTTACTGTCAAGCCCACTTTGGCAGACTTCTGCTCAATTTGTTCAAAGGTGGATCGACCTATTATGTCGATGTCGTCGGCGAGTAATATATGCTGTTTGGTGAATAGAGTATCATTCTGACTGAATCCTCGTCACTTTGTCTGAATCCTCGTTCGGTATTGAAGGGCTTCGAGAGGTCCTTTCCGATTTTGTTAGTTACCTTTTGTTAGTTAAAGTTATACTGCATAGCCATATTAATTTTTTTGCTGCCGCGAAGTCAATAAGCCTCAAGCAGACTCAACCGTAAGGGCAACGGATATTCATATTTCCTATTTTCCAGTAAATGACCAGGGAAACGGTCGTATGATATTTCTATGCGCTAGTAGAACATGTCTTTAATCTGTTCATCTTTGCCTTTGGTCGATGCAGGGTCGCAAATGAGATTATTGGTCCAAATGGGAATTCTCTTTACGCATCGAAGGTCTAACATGTCATGGCCAGGACAGGAATCATATGTTATTTCTGGACGTTGATAGAATATGCATTTGATCTGATCATCTTTATCTTCCGTCGTAAATGAGACTGGCGCAAATGAGACTGATGAGGAGAAATCTTCTTTTAAACTGGCAATAGCATCCGCCAAGCAAAAACTAAAGCGTTTCTGTCCAACGTGCGCACATGCCAAAAGCAAATTCGCAGATGGTGATCCTTTAAACTTTTTCAGTGGTTGTCAAAATGAGAATTTTTCAAACAAAATATTTTTGGGATTCATAAATTTTGATAGTCTGAAATGTGCAATTGGGCGCCACTAAGCTTATGTAAACTCAGGAAATCCTGGTATTAAAAGTGACTGCGAGTGGAACGAGTCCAAGCAAAACTAAGCGTCCCTAATGGAGCTTTCAGTTTCTCAATAATTAGGCTTCACTATGCTTTTGTAGACTCCGGAAACTCTATAGACTCCTTTCTTTCACTAAAAGTGACTCCGGTTGGGACGAGTCAACCAAACTCCACCGTCCCTAATGGGACATTACAGTCTAAATCATCGTCTGTATTAACATAAAGTGGACATCCGCCGTTCTTCGAGAAAGTGTTGAACATCTGGGCAACAATAATTGGGCGCCACGAAGCATATGCAGACTCAGGATAACCTACAGGTCCTTTCTGAATCTAAAAGGGACTGCAGTTGGAACGAGTCAACCAAACTCCACCGTCTCTAATGGGACATTACAGTCTCAATCTTCGTCTGCATTAACATAGAGTGGACATCAGTCGTTCTTTGAAAAAGTGTTGAGCATCTGGGGACCGATGGTTTGTTTTTTTTTTCAATAATTGGGCGCCACGAAGCTTATGTAGACTCAGGATACCCCATAGTGGCCTTTCTAGATTTAAAAGTGATTGCGGTTACAACGAGTCAACCAAAACCCACCGTCCCTAATGGGACATTACAGGCTAAATCTTCGTCTGCATTAAAATGTTGAGCATCTGGGGACCGATGATCTGTTTCGCAATAATTGGATGCCACGAAGCTTGTGTAGACCCAGGATACCCTAGAGTGTCCTTTCTGTATCTAAAAGTGACTGTGTTTGGAACGGGTCAACCAAAAACCACCGTCCCTAATGGGACAACCTAAATCTTCGTCTGTACTTCGAGAGAGTGTAGAACATTTGAGGACTGATGATCTGATTCTCAACAAATTGAGCCAAATGACAGGCGGTTCAATGTCATTAATTTCAGATATTAGTCGGCGGACAACCAATAAACTTCTCACATATACCCATCGGAATCAGCACAGTCAATAATTGTCACAAAAGGGGCATGCGATCTACACCGAAAACACTATCCGAACATATGACAGACGGCTTAATGCCACTATCTAAGGCATGATTTGGGCTTTGGTGTAAGTTTTACCACATCTTTTTGGAACGGTATAATATATTGGAGTTTGGTTGAGAAGCAGAATATCGGTATTCATATGAGTAAATGAAGAATCCTCAACACTTTCGAAGATCGACGGATGTTGGGGAGTCGAGATTTATTTTTTCGAGATTTATCATTGTCTTGGTTTTCGCGGCTCCAATACGGAGGAAGATTTAGTTGGTCCCCATCGAGGACGTTTGATTTTGGCAGTCGTTTTTAGTGTCAGCAAGAATATATGGCGTTTAGAGACTACATAATTTCCAGAGTGTGCATGTGTTTCGTGGCGCCCAATTATTTTATGATCTCTCTTTTGACGAGATACCGAAGGCAGTAAATGACATTGACCTGCCTGTCACTCGTTCGACGGAATCCTCACGTTATCCCGTCGAAGGAGTGACAGGCAGGTCAAGGAATTGTTTGTTTTGCCTTCACCCGTTTATATAAGGTAACTTGGCCAAACTGCAGGTTCTTATGATCAACTTCGTCCATCTGAAAGATTCTTCGGTGTAGATTTCACCTCCCTTTTTGGGTACTGAACTGTTCAACGGTTCGTCGAAGAACGACGGTTATTCACTCTCAATTTAAAGCAATCGAAATAATTTATTGGGGTTTGGGAACTAAAGGTCTCTTGAGTCGACATTAGCTTATTATTATTTTATGAACAGCAGTTATTGAATTCCCCTATAAACTTTCACAAAACCCCCAAAATAATTATTTACTCTTATCACTTATTTTTTGTTATCGACCTAAACCACAATTTTGAGGTTAATTCTGAACTACAACAAATTTCAACAATATTTGTTGTTGGCTTCCGATGTCATGGCAAAAAATATTCGTTATCCATTGTTTGAAGTTAAAACCAGGCTTTTGGAGACTACAGGGTCTCCTGAGTCGATATTAGCTTCGCGGCGCCCAACTTCGTTCATCAGGAAGAGATTCTTCTGATACCAGCCACATATATCCGGCCAGAGTCCACAATTGTGGTTAATGTGGCAGCCATTCCTTTGTATCTATCTTGACTAACATCACCCATTTATAATGTTTCGATAAATTTATCCTGCCAACATGAATTTACGAACATTTTCTTCTGAGCTTAACCCACCCACACACAGGTTGTCGTCTATTGGCGTGTTTCCTTGTACTTAACTCAAATAATTTGTTCCGTTTAACCGAACCCGGATAATTGTCTTCAATGGGCAGTTAATTTCAAATTAATTTCGAAAAATAAACTGACCAGTACCAACAACAACAATGAAGGCAAAACATTTTCTGCATGCATTATTTACATATGATGCAGTCGATGTTTACGTGATTTAGTCATAGGTGAAAACATTCCATTGCTGAGATTCTCGGTAGGCATGACTTTTATAACTGGCACACTTCACAGGGAATCTTTCATCAGACAAGTCTAAAATTTCCAACTTAAAAGATAGGAAATCGCTAGCAAGTGTTTCGGGGCAACGATGTCCTCGAAGGTGACAAATGTTACCGCTTCTCAGCAGACAGCTCTCAAGGGTATTGTACGTAATAGCAGCTATGTTATACCGGGCCTCTATGACCTCAGTACCGAGGATACGAATTGGGTATTGACTTCATCGTTTATTATCTTTACCATGCAAACAGGTAAACAGAGAGGGGAAAATTCCACTCTCGAAGTTTTCAAATTTCAAAATATTTTATTTTCTTTCTTCTTCTTTACAAAGGTTTTGGCATGCTTGAATCGGGTTGTGTTTCCATTAAAAATGAAGTCAACATCATGATGAAAAATGTCATTGACATTGTTTTGGGCGGTTTTACATATTGGCTGTTCGGTTATGGCATGAGCTATGGCCGTGGTGCCTTATCCAATCCCTTTATAGCTTTGGGAGATTTTCTCTTGGATCCGCCAGTTGATGATCCACTAATGGGACAGATATTTGCCGCATTTCTATTTCAATTATCATTTGCCACCACCGCTACGACAATTGTTAGTGGTGCAATGGCGGAGCGGTAAGTTTTAATCGCACAATGTGGGAAATACTCAAAATATAATCTACATACGTTTTAACCTCAACCAATGGATAACAAATATTTTGTTGCTAACGTAAACCCTTTACATCGAAAATCAAAAACAAATATTGCCGAATTTTGTTTTAGTTCGGTATTAACCTCAAAATTGTGGTTTGGAAAAGTGAGTGATTAATTTCATTGGGGATTTGAGAGTCTTGATAGCCTAAAATTAAAAAAGGAAAATAATTAACTGCCGACCATAAAACAATTGGGCGCCACGAAGCTAATGTCGACTCCGGAGACTCTGTAGTCTCCAAAAGCCCGATATCGTTTTAACCTCAAACATTGGATAACGGATATTTCGTTGCTAAGTTAGACACTTTACATTGGAAGACAACAACAAATTTTGTTGAAAATTTTTTTAGTTCGGTATTAACCTCCAAATTGTGGTTTAGTTCGATAACGTAATAGAGAGTAAGAGTGATTATTTGTTTTCGGAATTTGTGAGTCTTGATAACCTAAAATTTAAAAAATTAAAATAATTAACTGCCGACCATAAAATAATTGGGCGCCACAAAACTAATGTCGACTCAAGAGACCCTGTAGTCTACAAAAATCCGATATAGTTGCTGACACTAAAAGTGAATGTGGTTGGAACAAGCCAACCGAAATCAACCCCGTCCTTACATTCGAGAATGCAAGTACAATGGTAAATTATTGCGATTGCTTTAAATTCCAAGTGAACAACCGTCGTTCATCGGCGAACCGATTGACTGATCTCAGCCAACTTCAATATAATACAGACCCAAAAGAAGTTGTGAAATCTATACGGAAGACACTATCCGCGCGGTATCTCGTCGAACGTGAGACAGGCCATAACATAATTGGGCGCCACGAAACTTATGTAGGCTCTGGAAATTCTGTAGTCTCCATATACAAATTATCCATGTTAGAACTAAAAGTGACTGCGGTTGGAACAACTCTGGCAAAATCAAATGTCCTCATCCTTGGGACCAACTAAATCTTCCTAGGTATTGAAACCAAGACAATGACATATTAGCGCGACTCATCTGCATCCATTAATCTTCGAAAATGTTGAGGATTCTTCAGATACTTATTTGAAGTCCGATTTTCTGCTTCTCAACCAAACTCCAATGTGTTTTGGCGAATCAAAAAAACGAGTGGTTAAACCTATACCGAAGTCACTATCCTCACTGTATATCGTCGAACCAGAAACAAAAGGTGGGGTTAAAATAATTGGGCGCCACAAAGCCTATATGGAAATCCTTTAGTCTCCAAACGGCTATGATGGAACTAAAAATTAGTGCAGTTGGAAAGTGTCTGCCAAAACCAAACATCCTTTATGGGGCCAACTAAATCCCCGTATCGAATACGCGAAAACCAATACAATGATAAATTATTTCGACTCAATCACATCTGTCGATCTTCGAAAGTGTTGAGGATTCCTCATTAACTCATCTGAAAACCGATGTTCTGTCTTACGATCAACTTCGTTCGTCAGGAAGATGTTATTCTGATACCTGCCGACAGCAACCATTAATCATTACGAACACACATCCATTGATCAATAATTGCCACAATGTGAAGAATCTCGTATTATCCAAGGACCCTTCATTTTTTCCTATATATTTTTGTTTCTATATAAAAAAGTGTATGCTATATTGGGCGCCACTTTGTGAAACTATATTCTTCTCGCGATTTCTGTTGACTTTATAGGCCAGTCGATGGCCAGTTCAGTCCATGTTAAAGCCTAACAATCTGAGGATATGGGATTTTTTCTATACAAAATATATTCATTTATGTTGGGCGCCACCTTGCGGAACCATAGTATTTTCAGGGAACTTTGGATGCATTTCATCTGGATGTCGATGTCCAAAGCAGTGTTGCTTAGACCTTTACGTTTTTACGTGTATGTTATATTGGGCGCCACTTTGTGAAACTATATTCTTCTCGCGATTTCTGTTGATTTGATAGGCCAGCCAATGGCCAGTTCAGTCCATGTTAAAGCCTAACAGTCTGAGGATATGGGATTTTTTCTATAGAAAATATATTCACTTATGTTAGGCGCCACCTTGCGGAACCATAGTATTTTCAGGGAACTTTGGATGCATTACATCGAGAGAGTGACATAACTGGTCCAAAGCTACAAATATTCGAAAAGATTTTTTCCTCCTACCCTTGTATTCAATTCTCATTAAATATGGGTTAGCTACTCATCCTTAGGTCTCATTCTTTTCACAGCCTTCGAATAAGGCACTGCATGGACTACTGGAATGGCCACCTAGATGTAACCTCCTTCCTTGGTTTATCCCCCGTGTTACGAGTTATTTAACTGGACGATCTTGTTACGTCCTTCCTAACTTCGCAATGGTTGATGATATGCCAATGATCTCTTACCATTCAACGACCCTTGAAGGTTTCGAATGGATATTTGTTCCATTTTTCCAGTGTGAGATCGTGATTTTTAGGAAGTAACTCGATCAGGAAGTAACTCGTAACATTGGGTCGCCATTACAGTCCCTCTGACTGGAGTATCTAATCCAGCATTTAGTTTCCTTTACCCTGGTTGATTATGCCCCAAGACTCTTACCTCCTTAAAGGTTCTGACCGATGTCTTCGTGGTCCTATTTGGATAGCCGAGTGCCTTGCCAATGTCATCTAAATGCCAATAGCCACATATATCATTCTCGAAGCCTGAAAATGGACTGAAACCAGGCAGGGTGAAATATACAGACCGATCTATGTTTCCGCACGAGAAAGAAAGAATTTCAAAGCATATCCCTACCTAGCATCAATAATAGCACCACAAGAGGTCTTGTCATAGAACGGTTATAAGGTAGCGCTTGATCTATAAAGAGTCGTCAATTACGCAAAACAGTTTGAAGATGTCGAGAATCCTTACCCCCGGCCAAGTATGAAACGATAAATAATTATATATGCGGAAGACAGTAACATTCCGATATTCCATACATCTTTACATGTGAAAGTTTAAATACTTCTGCTGCTTTATCTGCCAGGAAACCGTATCCCACTTTCTCACCATAGTGAATGTGGAGACGGGAACCCAATTGAATGTGTAGATCGATATATAAGTTCCATGGAGATCTATCGAGGATGAGATCAACTAGCTTCGACAAAAAATCTCTGCCCTCACAAGAACCTTTAGGGTCTGCTTTCAAGTCTGGTTCGAAATTGGTCAAGAAGGACAATGGAAAACCTAAATTCGGACCTCTTAGTAAGTCTTCACAGTATCGAAGAGTAGCCATCATTGAAAAGGCTGAACCTGATAAAAATATCAGTGAGATGGATTGGTTGCTGTTCGACCGTCATCTGAAGATCATAATCTTAACGCGCGTAATTGATCATAAACCTCTGCAATTTAATGGGTTTGTCCTGTATACAGGGGCCATCAACTGTGGGAATATTTAGTCTACTGACACCCTTATTAAGGTAATGGCCTTAAACCCCTTAGAGATGGTAGTAAACTATGGGTTGAACCCGCGTTTTGGGGCGGATTCACTTCTGTATCCGTTCATTGTTTTTAAAATTCCAATGTTCATGTGTAAACCCGATGTGTATATGACCTTTAATTATTCTTTCCATCAGAAGTAGTGTGGTCGTCTCACTTTGATAGAGGTTTACCTGAGGACCGCTGCCAATTGTCCTCCAGTAAACGGGAGTCGGTTATCTTCTCCTCGGCGTCCTCACTCTTGTTGATGGGTGTTTTTTTCTCGCTACTCTCTATTGCATCCTCTTCTTGATTAGACTTGCCATTAAATACCTTTATCCTCCCTGTGGAAGACTTCTCATTTCTTCAGCAGCAGTGTCATGTTTTGTGGATCAACAACTTCGAGCATGCGTTTTGTCGCTATCTCGCTGTCCCAACCTCTGACGAAGACCCATGCATTTTGTAATTGATCAAACTTGCCATTGAAGATCTGTCTAGACCCACTTGAAACTGTAGCTGTCCAGATCAATGGAGTCCCCCACCCTGCAGTAGGTTCTTCATGATCTTATTGTTGATTGGTCAACCCTTATGGGTCTCCGTTTTTAGTTTTCCAGACGCACTGTTTTCGCAGATAACTGCTTCTTTCTTGGAGTAAGCTCCTCTACGCTCCTTCGAATTTCTAGGACGGTTGTATTTGCCGTGTCTTCATATTCAGAATTTGAGTTCACTTCTGTCTCAGAAGGTTGGGCAGTGGTTGCTCTTCCGTTGTGGTCCTTAAACTCAGATCTATTTTTAATCATTAGCTGCGTGCTTGTAGCGGTACTGTCGACTACAGATGCCAAGGCTCCCACATATGTAGGAGGTATTTGCTCACAATCGCAGGATGACGACTAGGCAGCAATTTAATATTCCGATTTCTCATCCGATAAATAACCTTAAGGCACCTATTTACGGTGCCATAGTCCACAAATAAAGGTTCCGACTGATTTTTGGTTAATTTGAAAGCCCAACTCATGATGGAGACCCCGACCGAACTTAACAACGAGTTTCTACTTCTTTATTTTCCAGCTGTAACTTCAAGGCCTATTGTCTCTTTTCCTTGCTGAATACCATAATCTATTGTATACCAAGTGGTTGGGTATGGGGCGAACATGGATTTCTTAATAATTTGGGTGCGGTGGATATTGCCGGAAGCGGGCCGGTTCACTTAATAGGTAAGCTCATTTTCAAAAAGCGTTCCAATATTTTCTTTTCCAATTAGAATTTGAGTTTCATTTTAGGTGGCACTGCGGCATTTGCCTCCGCCGCCATGCTGGGACCCCGACTGGGACGTTATGCTGATGGCTATGATCCGCTGCCTTTGGGTAATCCAGTTAATGCCTGTATGGGTTTATTTGTTCTCTGGTGGGGATGGCTGGCCTTCAATTCGGGTAGTACCTATGGTGTTAGTGGGGCCAAGTGGCAATATGCCGCCCGGGCTGCTGTAATGACAATGATGGGATCATTCGGAGGTGGTATTATAAGTACCATGTAAGTATTTTGACGCACCATGGAAGAATTGAATTGTGACCCTAGTTTGTTGGTTTCCAGTTATTCCCTTTGGCGCCATGATGGTCGTTTGGATATTATCGACTTAATAAATGGCGTCCTGGGATCCCTGGTGTCCATTACAGCTGGATGTTTTCTGTATCGAGCCTGGGAGGCCTTAATTATTGGTTTGATTGGTGCCCTACTGTGTGTCTTGGCAATGCCGGTTTTCGATCGCATGGGTGTTGATGATCCAGTGGGTGCTAGTGCTGTACATGGGGTTTGCGGGATATGGGTAAGGGTTGGGAGAATCTTAATTCAGATTAGAAATTATTTCCATTTAAAAAATTTCTTTCAGGGTGTCATTGCGGTGGGACTCTTTGCCGACAACCCCATACCCCTGGACACAACCAAAGGACGTTCCGGACTCTTCAAAGGTGGCGGTTGGTATCTGCTTGGCATACAAACCCTCTCTGCTTTGTGTCTAACCTGTTGGGGTATTTGTTCGACATTTTTACTACTCTATATTGTGAATAAAATAATACCCATCCGGATGGATCCAAATGAAGAGCTGCTGGGTGCCGATTTAATGGAACATCGTATACGTCATTCACAAATTGGGTTATCGCGGGCCATATCTGCCTTGGCACCTCTCAAAGTGGATCTGAATGAAGTGGCTGGGGTTCAACCGATAGGCTTGAATCCGGGTCATGAGAAGTCATTGGCTCAGTTGAAAGCTGCAGATGATAAATTACAACAATGGCAATCGTATTTAGATCAAATGGGACCAAGTGTTCCAAAGGGAGGCCACCATCATAATCCTCACAGTAATAATAATAATAATGATGATCTCTTTACCATACGAAGTGAATATAAATCGCCGACAAAGCGTCGTAGCAGTGTGGGAAATGTTTTTAGCCGCAAATCGAAGACGGTCCATATTACCACTCAGCCCACTCAGCCCACGGCGAATATTAACGATGATGGTGGTGGCTATTACAAGCCGAATAATAAGGAATTGCCAATAATCGCAAATAAGGATACAATGAATAATAAGGATACAAATTTTGCATGGTTGGATTAAGGGCAGATGCAGCGGGTATATTTCGATGAGATGCGAATGTGATGAGAATTTGTTGTTGTATAAAAATAAAGTTGTATTATTTTCTGTAGTAAATCTTTCATATGGTTTGAAATTCCGATTCCGTTAAAGAAAAATGATCATACTAATATATTACAAACGTCGGCATCTGTAGTCGCAGGTATAGCTACAAGCACTCAGCCTTCGGGCAACACCAATTCGGAGTTGACGAACCACAAGGGGAAGACCAATCTCGAGCCAGCCTTCAGAAACAGGAGGGAACTCAACTTCGAATTCTGAGTCTGAACATGATAATTAGACAAATATAACCGTCTTGGAGAGCCGGAAGAGACAAGAGGCTGACAAGATGATAGAGGAGGTGAGTAAAGATATCGCCAAACTCACAACGAGGAATAAGCAGTTGTCTGGGGCACAAAGGCGGAAATTGGCCAGAATTAACCGGATGAATAAAAATGGCGATATGCAGACAGAGGCTCAAAAGTATAAGCCTGGCCTTCACTTCTTCGGAAGCGGCGAAGAGAATAAGTTCTCCGGATGTGCTGGCGACTGTCAAATCTGCCAAAAAGAAAAAGAGGTTCCCGTTGACCGATAATAAGAGAAAAGCTGAGGCAAACCAACGTCAAAGGAGACTGCCACGAGAATCCTCTGACGAAGGCAGACGATGCTGGCTCTTATATCAAGAAGACGAGTGCTGAGTCGGAATCTTCCGCAAATACCGGGAATCCCAAACGGACTAACCGGTATTTGTGAAGGAGGAAGATGACAGCAACAGATGGTAAGGAGCTGCCGTCTTATGCCAAGGTTGCCAAGAAAAGCTATCGAGGCGAGCTCTGCTATGCAGTGATCAAGAAATAAATGGAGAATAAATAAGGAGACCTATAAGGAAGTGTTAAATGTGGTCAACAGCAAAATTATGGAGTACCTAAGACAAGGAGGGGGACTCTATTGACCTGGATAGTGGCGCTTTCAAAGGGGACTATCTAATGCTGGAATTTGAAACTCCAAAAAGCATCGAAGCCCTGAGGAAGCTAGTGGTAAGCATTGGACCCATAGATGGAACAATGAAACTCAAGCTGATGAGGAAAAAAATACATTCATCAACTACAAAAGGCTACAGTCTTCTTCAGAAGCTGGGGCAGCGATTTCGCTCAAGGTCTTCAGCCTACAAAACAAGACACTGCGTGTGAAGAAATAGGAAATCTTCCCCAGACGGAGAACGAGGAAGGGACTCTCTTTGTGCTAGGCTTGGACAGGTCTTCTTGGCTAAGACCAAGGGCAAGGGATGGAGCCGAGAATAGTCTACTATCAGAAGAATCTTCATCAGAAGACCAAGAAACCGACCTTCAAACGGGTGACCTTCACTTCTTCTATCGCAAGACGCATGGCATCTATCAAAAGACCTTCAGAAGAAATTCTGGTCTTCTAGAAAGAAGTTATTCTGTGTGTATTAAAATACCTTCTGGCCTATCATCAGTAGACATTCTGGTCTTCTATCCGAAGCCTTTCTGGTCTTCGATTAGAATACCATCTGTTTATTGGTTATTGGTTGACAGATACACCCCCCCCCCCCCAATTTACGAAATTTTAGTGGTTTTAAGCGCGTTTTTAAACCGAATTCGCTGAAATTTGATACAATGGGGTCTTATTGGGTACTAAAAGTCTGCACAAAAAATTATAAATATAGGTCAATTTTTTGGGGTAGCCCTCATATAAGGGTACCCCCAATTTTCAGTATTTTGGGGTTCTTGAGCGCGTTTTTCAACCGAATTCGCGGAAATTTGGTACATTGGGTTCTTATTGGGTACTAAATGTCTCCACAAAAAATTATAAATATAGGTCCACTATTTCTGGTAGCCCTTACATAACGGTACATCCTGATTTTCAGTATTTTGGGGTTTTTTAAGCGCGTTTTTAAACAAAATTCGCTGAAATTTGGTGCAATGGGTTCTTATTGGGTACCAAATCTCTTCACAAAAAATGATGAATATAGGTTCATTTTTTCGGATAGCCCCCATATAAGGGTACCCCCAATTTTGGGGTTCTTGAGCGCGTTTTCCATCCGAATTCGCTACAATTTGGTGTTTTGTAGTCGTATATGGTAATAAATCTCCCTACCAAAAATATTAACATTCGAAACCTTTTTGCGGTAGTCCCCATATAACCACCTTTTTATATTAAAATAGTTATCTGATTTGTTCCGCGTTTTGTAAAACTCTGTTGTAATCATTTCACCTGCGGAGGATATCGAGATAAGAACGTAAGACTCGATAATGAACTATACATATATTAACTATAGTCCGCATTTGGCCTAGCCCTTGTGTGGGAGGTCCCAGAAGGAGTGGACCGATATTCCCCATCTTCGAACTTGAACTTAGTTTGGAACAAATAATAAGGCAAAATTTGGAAGAAATCAAAATTTTCTGAAACGAATTGGTCCAAAGAAACATGGGCTCTAGAACCAATCTTTTTGTAGAAATGTCGGTATAGGAAGAAATGTTGGTATGAACAACGTGGTTGACTAGCCGATTGTCGAACCACCTTATGGTAGCTTAATAAGTTTCCTCCTCGTCATGTCAAGTCTTGTATTCCGATTTTAATATTCATCACAGCATGGTTGATATGCTAATTTAAGCCCCTTAATAAAAGCGCCATTGAATCTCCAAAAACAAACATTTTTTGCAACCACGTGAAATAATCGAATGACGAAATTCGAGAACTAACGCCGCCACAACCACCACAACAATTCTACAAGAATAGCATCGAAGAAATAAACAAAAAAAAAATAACAGTGAAAGAAACCAACCAACTGTTTCGGCATTTGGAATGACGTCATTTGTTATATTTTCTAGAAAACAAACATAAAATTTAATAATAAAACAAACCACCACGCATAAGCATGCTCTCCGATTACTGACTCATTATAAACTATTGAATTTCTCCATGTTTCTTTAAAATAGCTTTTGCTTTTCATTGTTTAGTTTTTTGCAAAGACTTTCAATATCGAAACAAAATCAGAAATGGTAAATGGTCTTTCTCGAAAAATTAATGAATAATCAAATAATTTTAAAGTGGTTACGTATATTAAGCGATACGTAATTAAACAGACGCTTACGAATGAGACAGCAAAAGCAGAGCGTGGTTTATTGCGAAAGTTCATTAACATTCTGTGAACCTTGTCCTTCAAACGAACAAAAAATAACGAATTTTGGTGACTAAAAACCACCTCACGTTTAATCAATGTTCTTCCCACCCCCCAAAATCTTTGTTATTAACAACAAAAAACACAAAAATATTCTTTCTTTTCTGTAGCTTCATTCATAATTTATTTTTTTTTTCAAATTTTTCATGAAATGCCTAAGTAAAACGTGAATATATTTTACTTATTGAAAAATTCTAAAGTCAACAATTTGTAGTAGAGAATGTGTTGTAGATGGAATTAAGGAAATACGAACGAAGACCGCAGTTGTTGTTATAAGGTTTGATGTTTTTTCTTTTAAAATCCAAGCAGCATTTTATTTTGGGAATAGTTTTTTGGTAGAGATGTTGTTGTTGTTGTCGTTATACTAGCAGAAATCTCATTAGCGAATTGCTTAATCGACTTCTTCGATGGTGGGACCGGCACCGGAACCAGCACCAGGAGCAGCACCACCAGCGCCAGGGAAGCCACCGGGCATACCGCCGGGCATGCCACCGGGAGCACCACCAGCACCTTGGTACAACTTGGTGATGATTGGATTGCAAACACCTTCCAATTCCTTTTGACGGTGTTCGTATTCTTCCTTGTCGGCCAATTGATTGGCATCCAACCATTTAATGGTCTCGTTGCACTTATCCATAATGGTGGTGCGGTCGGCTTCGCTGATCTTGGATTTCAAGTTTTCTTCATCCAAAGTAGCCTTCATGTTGAAGCAGTAGGATTCCAAGGAGTTCTTAGCAGCAATGGTTTCCTTTTGCTTCTCATCTTCATTACGGTATTTCTCAGCCTCGTTGACCATACGCTCGATATCTTCCTTGGACAAGCGACCCTTGTCGTTGGTGATGGTGATCTTGTTTTCCTTGTTGGTGGAACGTTCCAAGGCGGTGACATTCAAGATACCGTTGGCATCAATATCGAAGGTGACTTCGATTTGGGGTACACCGCGGGGTGCTGGGGGAATGCCGGACAATTCGAATTTGCCCAACAAGTTGTTGTCCTTGGTCATGGCACGTTCACCTTCATAGACCTGGATCAATACACCGGGTTGGTTGTCGGAGTAGGTGGTGAAGGTCTGGGTCTGCTTGGTGGGGATGGTGGTGTTACGCTTGATGAGAACGCTCATGACACCGCCAGCGGTTTCGATACCCAAGGACAAGGGGGTAACGTCGAGCAACAACAAGTCTTGGACTTCTTGGGACTTGTCGCCGTGCAAGATAGCGGCCTGGACGGCAGCACCGTAGGCGACGGCTTCATCGGGATTGATAGACTTGTTCAATTCCTTGCCGTTGAAGAAATCTTGCAACAACTTTTGTACCTTGGGGATACGGGTGGAACCACCAACCAACACAATATCGTGGATTTGTGACTTGTCGAGCTTGGCATCGCGCAAAGCCTTCTCAACGGGATCCATGGTGCTGCGGAACAAATCAGCGTTCAATTCCTCAAAACGGGCACGGGTGATGGAGGTATAGAAATCGGTACCTTCGAACAAGGAGTCGATTTCAATACTGGCCTGGGTGGAGGAGGACAGAGTACGCTTTGCACGTTCGCAAGCGGTGCGGAGACGACGCAGGGCACGCTTGTTGGTGGACAGATCCTTCTTGTGCTTGCGCTTGAATTCCTGAACAAAGTGGGTGACTAGGCGATTGTCGAAATCTTCACCACCCAAATGGGTGTCACCAGCAGTGGACTTGACCTCGAAGATGCCGTCATCAATGGAGAGAATGGATACATCAAAAGTACCACCGCCCAAATCGAAAATCAACACATTACGTTCGCCAACGGCCTTCTTGTCCAAACCGTAGGCAATGGCGGCAGCTGTGGGTTCATTGATGATACGCAAAACGTTCAAACCAGCAATGGTACCAGCATCCTTGGTAGCTTGACGCTGGGAATCGTTGAAGTAGGCTGGTACAGTGATGACAGCATTGGTAACGGCCTTACCCAAATAGGCTTCGGCGGTTTCCTTCATTTTGGACAAAACCATCGAAGAGATTTCTTCGGGGAAGAAGGTCTTCTTTTCGTCCTTGTAGACAACTTGGATTTTTGGTTTACTGTCTACATTGACGACATCGAAGGGCCAATGTTTCATATCGGATTGAACGGCGGCATCATCAAATTTGCGACCAATCAAACGCTTAGCATCAAAGATGGTATTTGTGGGATTCATAGCGACTTGATTTTTGGCAGCGTCTCCAATAAGACGTTCAGTATCGGTAAAGGCAACATAGGATGGTGTGGTACGATTACCTTGATCGTTGGCAATAATTTCAACTTTGCCATGTTGGAATACACCTACACAGGAGTAGGTTGTACCCAAATCAATACCAACAGCGGGAGCTTTAGACATCTGTAAGTAAAGGTAGAGAAGAGAAAATGTAAGTAAAATTGTTAACAAGACATTTTTTTTTGTATATAATTTCTAAAATACTAATCTAATTTTTTTATATTTCTTTAAAATAATTTGTTTATTTATATTTTTATATAAATATATTATATATTATAAAATATAATATATTATATTTTATATTTCATTTTTAATATTTTTTTATTTTCATTCTTTTTTGTAATTTTCCTTTTTTATATTGTGTTCTATTTTTTTTTTCTATATTTTTTATTTATATATATTATATTTTTACTTATTTTTTTTATTTTTTAATTTTTCATATTTTTTATTTTTCCTATTTGTTATTTTTATATTTGTTATTTTTTATTTCTATATTTTAATATTTTTCTAATTTATTTTAATATTTTTCTAATTTTTTATTTTTATATTTTTCCTATTTTTTATTTTTATATTTTTTCCTATTTTTTATTTTTATATTTTTTATATTTTTCCTATTTGTTATTTTTATATTTTTCCTATTTTTTATTTTTCTTATCTATTTTCTATTATTTTAATATATTTACTATTTTTATTTAATTTTATTATAATTTAATGTATTTCACATCGTGTAAATACCCCTTAAGCATTTTGTCCGGCAAGCCACTCATATGACAGCCGTGAAATTTCTACATTGTTCTCATTTACTATCTCTCTTTCTCTTTCGCACTCCCTCTCACACGACAATCAAACACACGGCAGATGTTTATCAATTTCCGCCATTTGCTGTTAGGGGTTAAATATGAATCAGCTGTTTTTGTGTAGACAAGCCAGCCAAAGTAGTTTTGCAATTTAGGCGGCGTGCTTTATATACAAGCACACGCACATTTCTCCTATGGTTCAAGGTTGCAAAATATATAAAATTTTTGCAGAGAATTTTCTGGAAAATTCCTATATAAAAAATGTTTGTATTTCCAAGGAAATTTTAATAAAGAAAATACACCGCCAAGAATGCAAAACAGTGGGAAGATATGAAAACAAAAAAAAACATGATGCTTTGCATGTGGGCAAGCAAATAAGAGTGAGAACACAAGGGAGAGGAGAAAAAATAAATTTCAATTGAAACTTGAACTGTTAGACATTTCTGAATGAAAACACGTTTTAATGAACAATTTTCTGATGCAATCTATTACCAGGGGCAGTAGTTGCAATAAATATTCTATATATTGCATGTGGAGAATACAGTGTGTCCTAGAAATGTATACAAATTTCCAGAAACATGTGGGGTGAAATACAAAAATCGATAACAATGACGCAGTTAAAAGTTTTCAGAAAAAAAACACAAAGGAGAAGGGTAAAAACATGGAATAAAACAACCGAAGCTTCCCTCCATCCGATAGTGGCGTCATCATAACTAACTTTTTTTGCTATATTCCATAGTTAAGTGTAGTGTTCCATTCTGTTACCAAGGCCCTAAAAACTGTTGTACATACACGATGAAATTGCGGCGGCACATCCCGCCGCTTTAAATAAAATGCAGAAAAAAGCTATGGAAAAATACACATACACATCCGCAGAAAATAAAAACTGAATTCATAAAATGCACAAACACACAAACAAGAGATAAAAAAAGTAAAACACGAAAAAACCTAAGGTAAAGAAATGTGCTAATATTGGTCGTGTCATACGATTTTGGTGTAGTGTGTGTTGTTCAAGCTAAAAAAAATTAAACCCGATAAAGAAAATGGAGGTTAAGCTAATACAACACACACGCTTTGACATGTGTGAAATAATTTTTAATCTTGATAAAAAAAATGGAAGAAATAAACCTGAAACATGCGGTTAATTACACCCAGCTGCAGCAGCAATGTGAGGGGAAAACCAAATATAACCTAATTTTTCGTATATGAAAAATTTCCACTATTTTTCCCATATAAAGTAAGATGAAGAACAATACTTCAAAAATGAATTTTTATATGCACCACTACTATAGTATATATCCATACATGTATCTTAACAATGAGAAAAAAATGTGAGTCATACTTTTTCATAGAATAGAAGAAAAACGAAACTGTTTTCCAGATATTTCCTCCAGGTAGTTCCTATCCAATTTGTATTAAATTTTGTATGAATTAAACGAACTTTAAACCTAATATTGTTAACAAAAAATAAAAATTTCTGCATTTTCATTAACCTTCCCCGCAAAAAATGCAACGCCCACGTGCTTTTTTCATTCTTTAAATTCTTAATATTTTTTCACACTAACAAATTCTATTCACTACTTATTACTTTAATTCTTATAATTTATTTGTATTTCACAACACTTACCTTGTGTTTTTCTGTTTGTTAGTTGTTTATATAAAATCTAAACTTAATACTCCAAAACCTTTTTTTGGTTGCACTTTTCTCTTTTGTTCTTCTTTTCGTGTGTTCTTGTAATCGGCAATCACACGTTCGGTCAAATTCACGCTTATTTTAGGAATGATTTTTTCATGCTCAAAACATTGCTTTATAAACCAGTATGGCGCGCACGCTTGCAAAAATTGTACACAAAATGCCATTCTCGTACTTTCTTTTGCGGTCACAGTTGTATGTGTTGAGTAGTTGGTATTGTGGTAGCTAAAGGGTGGTTCACAATATTAGATATGTTTGCAAATGTATAGAGGGAGATTCACATGATATTATTTTAAGGGAATTGCGTGTGTTTCAATGAGTTTTAGAAAATGTTAACTATTTATTGATAATATTAAATAGGTTTTAGATTAATGAGCAAACTTTTCCACAAGTAAACCGACATTTATAGACTTGATTTGATGGGTTATTGATTAACAAAGCCAGAAGAATATTTTTTATATTATACAAAATATAAAGCGACATGTAAATTAGAACTTTTTGCATTATTAACATACTTTTTGAAAATTTATTTGACAAATATGCAATGAAATTGACAACTAAAATCCACTGTTTCAACTAAATCCGGTACGATGTAGATGTACTGTTATGAGATTTAATAATAGAAGCAACACTGCGCAACGTTAAAAATATATGAGTGTTAAACGGTATGTACACTAGAACTTTTCGCTCTGAGGTTAGTCGAGTTATATCGAATAAATTCGCATAGATTACCTTAACTATAAGTGGGTTTAGATTTACAAAATCCACTCGATCTCAAATGTCAATTCTATAGTGTATACGTCAAATATAATCCATTGGATTTGTGAATATAATTAAGGTGACATATAATATAAGCTATGGAATTGATATTTGACATCGAGGGGATGTACTATTCTAAACTAGTTCTTAGGCGACCAGATTTTGGAAATGAAAATAGGTGGCATAAAGAAAGAAGTAAAGAAAGTTCAAAAGCCGGACGGATGGACTATATGAAACTCTTCACCATGTACAATATTCGGTAGTAACAATTTTATCAGCTTACTTAACAGATATATCATCTTTGGATGACCATTGACATGGAATCGGACGATATATGAACCAATTTGAGTTAATCCAAGTACATTTTAGAGTTTAGTTAGAGTTTAAAAAGTACAACCTTGGTACAAAACAAGAAATAAATAAAAAACTGAAGTCTAGTGTAATGTCTTATAGTGTCATATTTATATTAACATATTCAACAGGTTGTTTTGTTTATTTTCGCAAAAATTGAATTGAAAATGAATTGTTAAAGTTTTTATAATAAGAATTATTTCCAATACCCGGAAAGATTTCTCTCTGAGTGCTGTACTGTCGATTTTTAATTACAATCATGCTATAATTATTAAAAGCTTGGACACAGCTACCAGGAAAAAGAAATCCATTATTATTTTTTGCAAATGGTTTAAAACAGTTATGGTTGATTTTTAGCTCCTGGGCGATCTTACGACTGCTAACATACCGGTCAACTTCGATTATTTCTCTGATTTTATCGATATCTTCGACGAGGTGCATCTTTAACTTAACATTACACAAGGCAGTCTCATGCGGACATATAATTCCAATTTTTCACAATTTTACTTTTGACAACATTCAGCTTTCAAAATTTAAATGATCAGTGACAAAAAGTTGGAAAATGTTTAATATCTTGAAGTTCCCAGCCTATAAATCTATAAATATAAGTTGTAACTTCTATATGTGGTTTGATTTGAGAATTTGATCATGGCAACCCTTTTTAATTTGGAACTTATCTATCAATTTTAAATAAAAGTACGTTTACATTTATCGGGATTTCGTTAACCCAGTGGGTTTCAATTGTCCATTCCTTTGAATATGTGTCAAATAAATCCTCATAAAGTAGGTTAACCCGGTAAAAAGTTCTAATGTATATGCCGTTTAATATGAAAAATAACGTCCATAAAATTGTATGTATTCGATTGGTATATTTTCAATAAATAAAACAAAATATATTTTCTAGAACTGAACATTGCTCTCAATATTTAACCTTCTGTAATTATGCCATAGCGCCCCACATGGTATAATTATTAAAGGTAACAGCAAGTGTTGTTGTACAACAATCGAAACAACAAACACAAAGAAATTTTGTTGTTGTGAGTAATACTAGTGTCATCGACATATGGAAAAAAATGTAAACAAATATTTGAAATTGAAATATATTTTGAAGTTTTATAGACTTTTAATTGTAAAATAAAAATACATAAATTACACTGGGTACTGAGCGTAGGAAAAACGCGAAATTGGAAGACACGGGAGAAGACGATGGTCAGGAAGATGAATATGATGCTGATAATCCATTGAGGAAGGTGCTATTGGAAAAATGCATAGGCAGCTGCAGATGTAGTAGGCGCAGTTGGTGAAGCTTCTTCCGATGTCCAAAAAGGGTCATAATGCTAAAGACAGCCACATTTAATGTTTTCCTTTCAAGAACATCCAGTGTATAGGACGTGTCTACACGGAGTGTCCGATAAGTGGTCTACATCTTTACATATAAGGCATTTCGAGAAGAGGATAACAAACATAATCATTAAAACGCAACTTGCGGTACTGATTAAAAATAATGCCATACAGATTATACAATTGCAATTTCAAACAAATCATATATAATAAAATGCATCATATATTTATTATTAAACATTCATATGATTTTTCTTACATAAAACATAAAGGAATGAAATCATTTTTGTCTTCTACAAAATAGGACAAACAAAAAATTGGAAATGTGAAAACAAGATGTTCTTAAATCTTTGTGTGTTTTTTATTTATTTCCGCAAACGTTATGAGAATGACGACACAGCAGCTGTGGGATTTGAGGAATTCACATTCAATGCATTACCCAAACGTTTGGGGACGGAAATATCTCGTCGACTTAAACTGGACTTCATTTTTGGCAAAGCTTTTGCTTTGGAGTGTGGTGAGGTATTGAATGTCGCAGCTTTCTTCAAACTATGAAGTGCAGAACCTGTGAATAAGATTCTTCTTAAATTTAGGGAAGTACATTTAATGAATTTCTTACATAATCCAAGTCTTTAACTGATATATCCTTCATCATATCACAGCATTTCAAATTGCAGCCATATATTTGCGGAAATACGCTAAAACCCATTAAAATATCGAAAATAGATATCTGTAAATACTGAGTATCAAATCGTTATTAAAAATTTGAACATACTTACAGATTCCGTTTCAAATATTGATTCAAATTTTTATTTTATCTATGTACATGTATTTTGACTTTTTTGAAAAATATATGTGAACGATTTGAAAAAAAACACAATACGATGACAGAATGCCAAAATCGATTTTTACACTAGTATTACTTTGGAATCAAATCATATGGCACTTGCTGTTACCTTTTATTATTATACCATGAGCGCCCCAATAAGCAAAACCAGTTTTGCAGTCCATACCCATTATGAAAAATCAGTTCGTTTTGCGTAACGCAAAACTGTTTTCGTTACTTTTAGGTTAAAATCAGTTCGTTTCCATTACGCAAAATAACTTCGGTTTCATACCGTAAAAAACGGCACATTTGCGAAGCTTTTCACACAGAATTAATTAATTTGGTCTTATTTTTATATGGAAAAATTTCCATGTGTTAGTGAAATGGCGGTCTGTTTGCTGTTTGTTTTAGCTTTGTAAAATGCGCTACGTTTATTTATCTTAGAGGGTAGAACAATGTGATAAAGATTGGCAACTCGCCTCACTTTACAACACTACCGCACAAACATATGTTTTCGATTTCGTTTTTACTAAACAGCTGGTCCTCGCCTCGTAATTATCAAACTCTGAATGTGAACTACCCTTGCTACAACACTAACGGCAAACATATGTTTTCTATTTTGTTTTTACATAACCTTCAAATAATTTTGTAAATAAACGAATGAAAATTACGTGAAATTTAATTCTAAGCATTTGTTTTAATTAAATATAAATAAAATAATGTCTAAAATACTGGTAGATCAATTGTCACACCCACAAAGAGTACGTATTTTGTATAAAACAATATTACGTTTACACAGAGGTAAGGACAGCCAATCGAACGAAAATTCCAAACTAAAATTTAGAATTTGTTTTCAGGTTTACCGGATGAATTAAAAGATTTGGGCGATAAATATGTTAAGGACGAGTTTCGAAGGCATTTAAAATGTAATCCCATGGAGGCACAATTATTCATGACAGAATGGGCAGTAAGTAAAGAGGAGTAATTTTTATAAAAACGGATTTATTTTTTTATTATTTCAATTTAGAAATATGCAGTGACAATAAGTAAACAATTGGGTATACGCGGCAAACCCTTGGGGACGCTTGGAGACGATTTAGACCAGGAAACGGTGGAAATGTTAAAAGACGATCAGGTTGTGCAGTTGTATGAGTTAATGTTGGCAGCCAAGGGCATTGAAGGCGATGTCATAACAAAAGAAGATATTACCAATAAATAAAAAGAAGCAATTTGTTATTGAATATTAACTTTGTTGTTGTTTTTCCAATATTTTATATTCATATTTGATGTTATTTTCTTCTTGTATGCCCTTGGGTGTTTCTTCGTCTACGTCGACTTCTTTGAAGTCATCTGGAATGCTTGGGAAAAATGTATCACATTCAAAAGTGGCATGTATCTTTGTCAGATATAAGCGATGGCAACGTTCTGAAGCCATAGCCTCGGCATAGACACCACTGCCGCCAACAATCCAAACGGTTTCAATTTGTTTCTTCATTTCATCATCTGTTTCGAGGAATTTCATTGCAGCTTCCAAGTTGGGATAGAGCAGCACACTTGATGGTAAATCTGCTGGCTTCAAAGTTGTACTCAAAACAATATTTAAACGTTCTGCTAATGGACGTTTCGATTCTGGAACACCAAAATAGGTTCTTCTACCCATAATCACAACATTTCGTTTACTTGGATCGCGAACACGTTTTGTGGTGTTGCTGAAGTATTTCAATTCGGACCTGTTTTTGAATAGAATTTGTGTGTGAAATTTATATACTTAAGCTTCTTTACGTTTTACTTACTTTAGGCGCCATGGCAGATCTCCCTTAAGACCAATACCAAAATTTTCACAAACGGCAACGATTAAACTGAATTTGAGCATGGTGAAGCCAATTTAAAATAAATCTTGTCAATAAATTTGCACCTTTACAATTAAAAACAACCTTCTGATTTCGATCTTATCTCGAACTGTATTTTATTGTATGTCTCCTCGAAATATTAACACAGCCGGCACACACACAATTGCAATTTAAGCTTGCATCACTAAATAGAATGAGGAGATAAGGAACAGACTGATAATCAGGAATCAAAACAAAAAGCTCACTAAAGAGAGACCCCAAGATCGAATACATCCCAGTGGGAAAAGTGAGAACGTATTACATTGAGAATCGATTTAGTAATGGATTATAATAATTACATTATATAATGTATCCGGAAGAATCGAGTAAATAATATAATTGAACAAAAAGTTAAATTATTAAAGACATTATAGATGATAAATTATATAATATATCCCAAAGGTAACGAGAGGGTAATTTCAATTGACAAAAAATTCGTACTAATTACCTACTCGTTTCCTAAATGATACGATAAGGTAATGAAATGTTTCACTTTTTTCTTGATTTTTATTTTTGAAGTCCCGTTATCTGTCGACTCTCTCATGTCGGAGTAACAATTTTTCAGTTTTGTCTTTGTCGTGTACCAATAAAGACGTATTTTGTTAAAGCCAGTGGAAAATTATTAGCAAAAAAGAATAAAAAATGAAGTGAAAAAAGAAAAAAAAAAATACAAATTATGAAATTATACTTAACATAATTCCAAAAAACTGGATACCCTCCTTGGACAGCAATCCCTTCAATTAGAATCTGATCTTAAAAAAGTGTAAGTAATGAAATCATAATAAAATATTCCTTTTTCTATATTTTTATTATTGCAACATTTTTTTCAGATAACAATAATGGAAATATTTGTATTGCCTGTGCCCAAAAATATTCTGTGAATACGTTTTATTTTCCTTTTAAAACTATATGTAAAATCGTTATATTTGTAATTATAAAATATATGAATAAAAACAAATGTTTCTCATTTAAACCAACAAATTATTTAATGAAACTCGGAGAATAAATTAAATTAGAATATATTACTAAGGACCTATAAAAAAATACACAATGGCTCATCGATTACATTATGCATTATATGGATAGTATAGGGGAATATATTATGCAGCGTGTTACGGATAATGCATACTGTAATCAATAAATCATAGTGGCTGTGCATTACCCGTTCGTTTACCATTGATTACTTTTTCCCACTGGGATACTGTGAGATGAAGACTATTGTGAATGGATAATGAAGTGGTTAAATGTGGCTTTCATAACTATTTTGAATCAGTTCATTATGGGCCAAATATGTCATTTTTTGATCATAAATAGAGCAGTGGATTTACTTTTGAAACCGAATTGCTTTGTATAGACGCATGAAGCAAGTTCAAAAGAGAATGACAAGAATTGCCGCAATTAAACTCGCCTAATATAAATCAGGACTATGTTTATTTCAGGAATCTACTACTTTCGAAAAATATTAAAAACTAATAGATTATTGCAGTACGGGAGCATACCAAATGGTAAATTCATGGAACTAAGTCTGCTTTTCCACAGGCAGATTTTTATTTGGCAAATTTTTTGTTTTCTCTTTTGAAATTTTCGCTTGCTTTTCCATTAGCAAATTTTTCTTTGCCAAATTTGCGAATCAAAATACAAAAGAAAGAAAATAAAAGTCAAAAGTGTTTGCATTTTAAAAATTTTTATTTATATTTTATTTATTTTTTTATATACTTTATTATATAAATTGCAAAAATTAAAAATTAAACAAGTAAACAAAAGCCGGCTGTGTGTCAGTAAAGCGAATAGGTTCAAAAGGAAATGTCAACAAAATTGTTTTCAACGAATAGAGCAAAGCAGAATTTGCGTGTACGGCAAATTCTGAACAGGCAAATTTTTGTTTTTCTTCCTCGCACCCCTCTCGCCTACAAACTCAGTATTTGCCAAATAAAAGAAACATATGAATATAGGTAACAAGGTACACATGCGTAAAACTTATGAAAGGAACAAAAAGTTTAACTTAAAAATACATTTAATAAATAATTCGTTCTTTCTTCAAGAATGCTAATTTGTAAAGTTTTTATTTGTGTATCAAAGCATGGCATAATTACATAAGGTAGTCTCATGCAGACATATGATTCCAATTCTTTCACAATTTTACTTTTGACAACAATCAGTTTTCAAAATTTAAATTCGAAATGCACGCACAACACGTGTTCAGTGGCAATAATTACAAAATGTTTAATATCCTGAAGTTCCCAACCCCTATTATCTATAAATATAAGTTGTAACCATCTACAGTTATATTTTAAAAACAATGTTGCTCAAAAAATTTAAGATATTTATTACTTGAAATCTTTAGAATGTATAGATATTGAGTTGCAAATTAAAAAGGGTTGGCATTATTAATTTCTCAAATGAGACTACCTTCTGTAATTATGCCATGGATATAAGTTTTTTTATTTGCAACATTCTTTTCATTACCTTTCACACTCTTGAAGTACTTATTTCCAAAACTAATTCCAAATTGCATGATTCGAGCTCTATGGGTTATCCCTAATCTTAATTTTACCAAATTTAGTACCATTTAGTACGCATTAACATAAATCCAATAGCTATCATATTTCCCAATTTAAGGATTTCAGTCCGATATATTTGTACTAAATTTAGTACCATTTAAAATACATTAGTTTGCATTTTCAGAATCCTTCCGCAATCCTACACCCCAACAATGATTCTAATTCACAATTTTAGGATTCCAGCTCTATCGGTTCACCCAAATCTACGTTGGTACCATTTAGTACACATAAATATGAATTTTCAAAAATACATCCATACCCCAACTCTACACCTCAACAACCCTACACTCCAAAAGTAACCTTATTTCCGAATTTCAGTGTTCCAGCTCTATCATTTTACTCAAATCCAAATTTGGTACCATTTAGTACACAATATTACGAATTTCCAAAACTTGCTACCTAGGCCCAATTCCAAACATGATCCCATCTTCAAACATGATCTAAGCTTGGTAAAGCTAATATGTTGTGCAAAGTTTGGTTCAAATTGGGCATTCCAATCGCCTGATATTGGATTTATAAATATTGAAACTGTTGGCCCTTTGTGGGGGAGGTCCCCGAAAAGAGTATACCAATGGGTCCCATCTTTAAACTTTATCTAGGCTTGGTAAAGATAATAGGTTGTACAATGTTTCGTTAAAATTGGATAGTTCGTTTGTATGTTATTATAAAATTAATTTTTAGCACAATTTTGAAAATTTTGTACGGAAGGTACCAGAAACAGTGGACCGATATTCCCCATCTTCGAACATAAACTAAGTTTGGAAGAAATATTAAGATGTGCAAAGTTTGGATGAAATTGATTATTCCCTTCGATAGTTATAGTGCCCACCAGTCGGCCAGACAGACGCACATGTGTAGATCGACTCCAAATTTTCTGAAACGGATTTGATCCAAAGAAACATAAGGGACACATTTTCGCCGTATAAGATGCAAGAATATACATTTTTTTTTGTATATTCTTGCATTAAGAGAAGAACAGGCCATAAATTGACATATCTTCAAGAGTTGTTCAGATTTTCACTTGAAATTATATAGGGACATTCTTGAATTAATGTAGGTTCTAATCAAATCAAAAAACAAAATTGATTTTTTGAAACAGAGAATGCGTGGGATTCCCTCGAATATATGCCCAGTTAAACGGCATATATGTACATTAGAACTTTTTACCGGGTAACCAACTTTATGAGGTTTTTTTTTGACATATTAGCAAAGGAATTGACAATTGAAACGCAACGAAATCCGGCTAAATGTAAACGTAATATTACATGGCATAACTATACAAGGTAGTCTCATTTGAGAAATCGTACCTAATTTATTGCGTTTCGTACAAAAATACTCACCTTCTCACCTTTATAGGGTTAGTTAGACATTCGTATTACCCAAATACGCAAGGGCTTTATTTGCATCTGTGCTAATTGAAAACGGCGAAAATTGGTAAAAAAAAATATATTTTTTAATTGACCGAAAAATGTTTACATGTATAGAAAAACAAATTTTTCAATAACTGAAATTCTTTTTTCAATTGTCAATGTTGAAAATTTTCAACTTTATATTTTTATACGCAATTCGTTTTTGGGTAACATTCATTGAAATACATGTATTTAACTTTTGAGGTGAATAAAATCTCACAACGTTACCTAAAATCCGACGGGGCGTACAAAAATATTCAACTTCCCCACTATGGCAAAATGTTGTGTACGGCCGTATTACCCAAATACGTCGAATACATATCTTCCAACGAATAATACAAACCGCAAAATAAAATTGAAAATTTATTAAATTAATCCACATATTTTTAGTTTCCATTCGAAATTTCAAATTTCCTGAATGTTTTGTTTTTATTTTCAACAAAAGAAAAAAATGAAAAATACGTTCTGTCAAAGTTGAATTTTTTCAACTTGAAATTTTGTACGTTCGACGTATTTCGGCAACATTCATATAAATACATGTGTTCTACTTTTGTGGTGAAAAACGTCGAACGAGCTAGTTGAATTTTAGGTAAGGCTCAAGGTGTATTTAATAAGGTGTAAGTGACAATCATATGGTTTCAAACTTTTTTCTTTATTGTTTGTAAAGTAAATTGTCAAAAACATTTTCAATATTACATTTCGATTTCAAAAATGTTTTTTTAGGTTTTTTTAATAATAAAAATTCATGAAAACTACATTCATAGAGGGGGACGAAAAGGAAACTTAGGCTCAGTTATAACCCCGTTCTCCGATTGGTCCACATATTTTATGTTATGTGTGGAAATCTGTCCAGAAACTCCAGCTACTCATAAAATCGAGGAGATTATGTTAGCCTATATTGGAATCGGCACCTTGATTGATGATTTAGTCTTTGGCCGGGGATTTATGTCCTTCAATTTTCTTTAAGAAGGCAAGAAGCCACTCCATAAAAAATATATTGTAATCCACAATACAAACAACATCACAAGGAGCCATGGACTAATTGTGGGTAACTTAAAATTAATCGCGACCATGTCTTAAACTTTATTTTTCTCTGACCTAAAACCGCCAATTACCTAAGAATACTCAAATTCATCAATTATTCCTGAAAGAATAGTTCTTGACAAAAATAAATTAATAATTGTTTTTGGTTATTTTTGTCAAAAACTTATTGTCAGCATGACAATTTAATTTCTATAACAACAATGTTGTTTTTGTAACATATTTGTTGTTGTATCTGATGCATACACCTTATTAAATACACCTTGGTAAGGCTGTAAAATGAAAAATAAATTCCATAAAATGTTACGCATGGCGATTGGCAAATTTTTAACAAATTAAAAAAATATTTTTTCTAGAGCTCCACATTGTTCTCAAGATTTAAGGTTTTATAGGCAGGAAACTTAAAAATATTAATAAATATACATGATTCAAAAATGTTGGTACTGGACACAAATATTAATAAATATACATGACTCAAAAATGTTGGTACTGGACACAAGATTTGCGTGCATTTCGAAGGAAGATATTTTCGTTTAAATTTTGAAAGCTGAATGTTGTCAAAAGCAAATTTATGAAAAAATTGGAAACATATGACTGCATGGGACTACCTTGTATAGTTATGCCATGGTAGCTTATATGCATGATGCAATAATAAAGTGATGTATCAAAACAAAAACCTGTGTTATTGTCTCGATTATCTGTCAAAAATTTTCATATAATATTTTAAATGGTTGGCAACACTGTACATCCAATTCAAGTAGAAATTACCCACTTTGACAGTTAATCAAGACATCAGCTGCGCTAAATGGACTACCTATTCATTGTGCCATGCTCATAAGTAAGAATATTTCATACACATGCTCCATCCTACCATGCGTCGTCAATATCGGTCCACTTTTTGGAGTTTTTAGGAAAAATCTCTATTAAAAATTATGGTTTACATAAATCGGTTTGTAGAATTTTTGTATAGTCTCACTTGAGAAATTTAAAATGGCAACCCCTTTTTTTAGAGGCAGAGAACTTCAAAATAGTCCCAATTTAGATTAGGCGAGTTTACTTGCGGCAAGTCTTTGTTTGTAGGAGAGAAGGGCAAGGGGAATAGAAATTGAAAAAAATTGCTCGTACCGACAATTTTCTGGCAATTTGTTTTGTGTATTTTGTTTGTAGTGTCAGTAATTTAATTTACCAATCCAGAACATTGTCACAAAATGTAAAAACAAATTTTTGAAACCGAATTGCCTAGTATAGACGCTGATTCAAATTCAAAAGAGAACGATAAGAATGGCCGCAAGTAAACTCGCCTAATCTAAATCAGGACGTATACACCTAAGTCTGTTTTTACACGGTAGATTGGTTCCAGAAGAAGCCGTGCAAAAAACCGTGTAAAAAAGGTAATTCCCCTAAATAAGGGGACATTAGACTTGAGAAAAAACAGCTGTTTTCCGATTTCTATCTCGATGACCATGGCCTATAAATAAGGTCACCAAGATAAAAATCGAAATCGGAAAACAGCTGTTTTTTTTCAAGTCTAATGTCAAAAATTTCGACTTTGTTTACGTTTTCATAATGGAAGTCAATTCACAATAATGCATTTTGACAGCAAACTTGTGAGGTATCGATTATCAGCTGGTCTCCCTGTGTGACCTTATTTATAGGCCATGTTGGTGACCTTATTTATAGGCCATGCTGGTGACCTTATTTATAGGCCATGTTGGTGACCTTATTTATGTAACAGGCAAAAGGGGAATTCACACAAATCTTTAAGAATATGCATAGAACCACTTTCTGAGTCGATTTACGCATGTCCGTCCATGTATTTTTGTGAACAAAGTGCAGGTGGCATTTATGATCCGATTTGGATGAAATTTGGCATAGGTCGCTTATTTGGCCCAAGGACGAACCCTATTGAAATTGGGAAAAATCGGTTCAGATTTTGATACACCTCCCATATATATTTTCGTCCGATTTAATATAAATGGTGCACCAAAGTCCCTATATATCTTTCGATTTGGACGAAATTTGGCACAGCGTAATGAATTAGGCCTAGAATGATGTGTGCTGAGTTTCATGAAAATCGGTCTGATTTAGATATAGTTTCCATATATATTTTAGTCCGATTTTAGGCAAATAGTGCATCAAAGTCCCTATATATCCTTCGATTTGTTCGAAATTTGGCATAGCGTACTGAATTAAGTCTAGAACGATGTGTGTTAAATTTCGTGAAAATCGGTTCAGATTTAGATATAGCTTCCATATATATTTTAGTCCGATTTTAGGCAAATAGTGCATCAAAGTCCCTATATATCCTTCGATTTGCTCGAAATTTGGCATTGCGTACTGAATTAAGTCTAGAAAGATGTGTTTTAAATTTCTTTAAAATCGGTTCAGATTTAAATATAGCTCCCATATATATTTTCGTCTGATTTTATGTAAATATGCCCTATATACCCTTCCATTTGCAAGAAATTTGGATTTATAAGTAAATGAAGAACTCAAAATGTGGCCGAATGCAAAAAAAAAATACTGAAATAAGTGTAACCTAACATGTGACAAGTTTCGATGAAATCGGTTTAGATTTCGATATTTTGCTTTAAATTTATTTACATAATTTTGTCCCATTGTAAGAAGCAACTCTATATCTGACAAAAAGTTGGTATAGGTTGCAGAATGACATGTTTAATTTCATGTTAATGGTCCTTCAAAAATGCGACGTCTGTTAGGATTCCATCTGTTGGATATACCCAAAGTGTTGAAGGGTATCATATAGTCGGCCCCGTCCGACTTTACTGCTTTCCTTACTGGTTTTAATTTTACAACATATATTTATAATACATATATCTATATATATATATATATATTGTAATAGCCAAAGAATTCATTGACAAAAAATGTAACAATAATTATTCAGTAAAAAAAGAAACGGAAACTGCACGTTTTGGCGATACAAAAACGAAAAATTGACTTCGCTAGCGGTTCGTTTTCGTGTCTTTTTTCTTAGAGGGTCTACTTATAAGAACAATTCCTTAATTCCTACTGGACACACGAACCGGTTCTCCTCCTCCTCACTTAAATGCAGCCAATATAGGTTTCATCCTTCCTGTATTTGGAAAGAGGACAGATTGTGTAAATTTCTAATTTCATGGTCCAATTACTATTTCATTGCATGCACTACAAAAGACAATAGACTAATGGGTATGCAGTCCTTTGATCCTATCAAATATAACCTCTCCAACTAAACGTTATGGAGAATATCAAAATATGTTATAAAAATGCAAATTGAGTAATGGAATTTATGACCATCATAAAATCCGCCTATGGACACATTCTAATCAAGTTTTCTTACACTACTGTCACAAAATAAAATTACTACAATATGCTCTTTTATGGTAGCTATTACAATTTAGAAATTAAATGTGAAAGTGAGCTTCTCCTCCTCCTCCTACTACCCAATAGTTGTGGCCTCCCACAATGAAACAAATTAATCATTTACTTTTATGATATGTTTGCCAATAGTTTTCTTTTATATTTTTATTAATAATAAATGTGTGTGTATATATTATTCTAGACATTTTCTTTATTTCTTTCATTCTTCAATACTTATTGTTTAACAATTACAAATTACTTAACAAACTTTTTGTGTATGAGAGTGTGTGTCTTACTTAAGCCAAATAATAAAACAAACTAGCAAATTTATTTTTTGCCACCCTTAATCCTATTTCCTCATTCTCCTTCCATTTTCATGTTTACTTTCCTTTTTTTGCTCTTTACTCTTTTGGTGTGTCCACTAACCAAAAAGTTTCCATTTCACCTTTACCCTTAACCTTGACATGACCTCGTGAAACAACTTTATAGCCAACTTCTTCGACTTTTTTCGCCGTATTAAATGACAGATGGATTTTAAATGGTTCACTGGTGCTTTCCATGCGTGAAGCGGTATTGACAGTGTCGCCGAACAGGCAATACCTGGGTACCTTCAAACCCACCACACCAGCAACCACAGGACCCGAGTTGATACCAATACGTATTGAGAGATCGGGGATTTGTAGCGACTTCACTTTTTTAATAAGCCGCAGAGCCAAATCGCAAGCATGTTCGGCATGTAGAGGATTAACATCGGGCGCCCCCGAGACAGCCATATAAACCATGCCCACCGTTTCAACTTTGTAAACAAACGGAGATATGATTTCTTCATCGATGGCGGTGAAAACGGTATTTAGGGTAGTCACCGCCAACATGGCATCCTGTATCTTATTCGAATCGCCATTATAGACATTCATAACCTCAATAAAAATTACGGATACTTCATCAAATGATTGACACGTGGCCTCCTCACCATTACGCATACGTTCTGCAATTGGCCGAGGTATCATGGAGTAGAGTAACTCATCTCCTTGTTTCTTCCATGAATCTGCCAAATCCAATGACTTTTCCAATTCATCCGAACGCATTTCCTCCTTTTCAAACATCATTTCCAATTTGGAACAGTGTTGCCAACCGGCCATTACCAATTCACGACTCAGGCCATGGGGATTCAGATCATTTATAAACAAACCAATGCCATGTAACTCATCCAAATTCTCTATGAGTGGACTGCACAGAAATATCAATGAATCCAAATCTTTCATATAGAACATTTGCCCCTTAATCAAAATCGATTTAAAGAAATGCGATGACTTCCGTTCCCCCGTGGCCAAATCCACCTCATCATCACTATCTTCATTTTCCTGCTCCGATTTACGCAGTGTGGCACTGGCCTCGGAAAATTCCATTTCATCGAAATTTTCAAAATCCATATTCATAGCAGCATCATAGGCCGCCTTGTTCCGTCCCGTGCGCAGCAGCTCAAATTCAAACAGGACTGTACGCATATTCACCAAGGTATCCCATTCGATTTTTGTGCCCTTGGGACGGCGACATTCAAATAAATCCATAACATGCGAACCAATGAAACTCTTGGGATTCTTTCCCGGGTTGTGTAGAATCCAGGTTTCAACAATTTTCTCTCCAGCATGGGTGATGCACATATCGTGGTCCAGCACAATGGTAAAGGGGAACAAATCCAAAAATACACTCATATTTATAGGCGGTAAACTTAAATGTGACGGATGCGCCGTGACATTGATACGCTTGGCCATATAATCCCGATTATCAAAATCCAAACGATATTTAACAATAACTGTCAATGGTGTGTCGGATAATTTAATGGGCCCCGCTGTACCTCCCGCAATATCATTTTGTGATTCCAAAACATAGGCCTTTATATCGAGGCCATAAAATTCCTTGGCCACCTCTGCCATTTGACCCATTAAATATTTCGACATACCGGTACGTCCACTGCGATATACAATCACTGCCCCGTCATTATCCATGTGGGTCAGCTGCATCGAGGGCGACTTCATTTTCGGATATGTAAAACGCATTTGCAAATGGATATTATCAATGGATTGCAGGAAATCACAATAATACCGTCCCGTCGAACGTATCATCTTATCGTAACCGAAGTTACTGAAGAAGCGCACAAAACATTTACCAAAAAAATTCATAAAAAAATCAAATGTCTGGCCGGTGCAAGCAGCCAGGGCGGCGGCGAAGTCTGGCATCAATTTATCCGGATAAATTTGATGGGTCTTAAATGAGTTATGCTTACAATCGACAATTTGGCAAACTTGCTTCCACACATCCTGGCCATATTCCTTCTGTACATAGAAGGCCACGCTCTCATATAACATGCCATACATTTTGCTTGCGGAGTCTTGTCGGGTTATTTGCTTTGTACTTCCTTAATGGGAGAAGATGGTGGGTGGGTGTGTGGTTATGAGTTTCTCTTCGTCTGTCAGGATGGGAATAATGTGATTATGAAGCAGCAGGCAATCTGTAAAAGACAGTGAAGGGGAAAAGGTTAGATACAAAATTTTAAAGGACGCTATGTACAAATATATACGGTAGATGGGTAGGTTTTTAAAGGAACAATAGACAAATCAGAGGCTTCATTTTCGAAGTCGCAAGAATACAGAAAACGGATAAGCGATTTTCTAGTAATACGGAATGTGGACACCCCGATTGGCATTAATTATAAATCGCTGCCAAAATAGGATGGTTGGGTCTTATGTAATGAGTAAAGTACTTCCGAGTGGCCGCTATACAACGAAGTCAAACGCCATAATTTTAACATTTTTTTTTTAATTTTATTGAATGAAAGCAAAAAACCATGCGGACAGTAGCAGCACGTAATGCGATGGAGAACTATCGTGTGAAAAGGAGAGAGGAGCAAGGTATTTTCAGAAAAAAGAAGAAAGAGCAAGAAAAACGTGGTCGTGAGCAAATCGAGATGTACAGGAGTCAGAATGAAGTCCGAAAATTCTACCAACGGGTAAAACACCAAACCGAAGGCTTTAGTGTAGGCAAATCCTCCTGTAGAGATGAAGAAGGAAATCTGGTGACAGATACAAACAGCGTGCTGAGGATCTGGAAGGAGCGTTTTGAAAAACTTCTGGTATCAAATAGTGGCAGTGAAGTGGATACCCCAAAACCAATAATAGATGACCTAGCCAAGATGAAGTCAGAATAGCAATCAGTCGGAAGGAGCGTTTTGAAAAACTTCTGATATCAAATAGTAGCAGTGATGTGGGTATCCCAAAACCAATAATAGATGACCTAGCCAAGATGAAGTCAGAATAGCAATCAGTCGGATGAAGAATAATAAAGCAGCAGGTGCCGATGGATTACAAGCCGAATTATTCAAGACTGGTGGTCAGATGCTGGTAAGGAGCATGCACCAGCTGATTAGTACAATTTGGCTAGAAGAATGTATGCCCAATGATTGGAACCTCAGAATCCAACTATAGAGGAATAAGACTCCTTCCCATCGCATATAAAGTGCTATCCAGCGTACTGTGTGAACGACTGAAGCCAATGGTCAATGACATTATTGGACAATACCAATGTGGCTTCAGACCTGGCAAATCCACCACTGACCAGATTTTCACTCTGCGCCAAATCCTGGAAAAAACCACGAAAAACACATCGACACATTCCACCTATTCGTCGACTATTAAGCCGCATTCGACAGCCCTATCCGTTCAGAGGTGTATAAAGCCATCTCTGACCATGCCATGTCTGGCATTCCTTCAAAATTAATTCGGCTATGCAGGATAACTTTAACAGGCACAAGATCAGCAGTTAAAGTCGGAAAGGACCTATCGGAGCCCTTCAATACCGAACGAGGATTCAGACAAGGTGACAGTTTGTCGTGTGATCTATTTTAACATCCTGCAGGAAAAGGTCATACGAGACGTAAAGGTGAACAGAAATGGCACTCTGTACACCAAACAACATATGTTACTCGCCTACGCCGATGTCATCGATATAATGGATCGAACATTGCGAGCGGTAGCAGCCACCTTTGAACAAATTGAGAAGAAGTCGCAAGAATACAGAAAACGGATAAGCGATTTTGTAGTAATACGGAATGTGTACACCCCGATTGGCATTAATTATAAATCGCTGCCAAAATATGATGGGTCTTATGTAATGAGTAAAGTACTTCCGAGTGACCGCTATACAACGAAGTCAAACGCCATAATTTTTACATTTTTTTTTTAAATTTTATTGAATGAATGCAAAAAACCCTGCGGTCAGTAGCAATACGTAATGCGACGGAGAACTATCGGGAGAAAAGGAGAGAGGAGAAACGTATTTTCTGAAAAAAGAAGAAAGAGCAAGAAAAGCGTGGTCGTGGGCAAATCGAGATGTACAGGAGTCAGAATGAAGTCCGAAAATTCTACCAACGGGTAAAACACCAAACCGACGGCTTTAGTGCAGGCACATCCTCCTGTAGAGATAAAGAAGGAAACCTGGTGACAGATACAGACAGCGTGCTGAGGAGCGTGAAGGAGCATTTTGAAAAACTTCTGGTATCAAATAGTGGCAGTGAAGTGGATACCCCAAAACCAATAATAGATGACCTAGCCAAGATGAAGTCAGAATAGCAATCAGTCGGAAGGAGCGTTTTGAAAAACTTCTGATATCAAATAGTAGCAGTGATGTGGGTATCCCAAAACCAATAATAGATGACCTAGCCAAGATGAAGTCAGAATAGCAATCAGTCGGATGAAGAATAATAAAGCAGCAGGTGCCGATGGATTACCAGCCGAACAATTTATTCAAGACTGGTGGTCAGATGCTGGTAAGGAGCATGCACCAGCTGATTAGTACAATTTGGCTAGAAGAATGTATGCCCAATGATTGGAACCTCAGAATCCAACTATAGAGGAATAAGACTCCTTCCCATCGCATATAAAGTGCTATCCAGCGTACTGTGTGAACGACTGAAGCCAATGGTCAATGACATTATTGGACAATACCAATGTGGCTTCAGACCTGGCAAATCCACCACTGACCAGATTTTCACTCTGCGCCAAATCCTGGAAAAAACCACGAAAAACACATCGACACATTCCACCTATTCGTCGACTATTAAGCCGCATTCGACAGCCCTATCCGTTCAGAGGTGTATAAAGCCATGACTGCGTTAGGCATTCCTGCAAAATTAATTCGGCTATGCAGGATAACTTTAACAGGCACAAGATCAGCAGTTAAAGTCGGAAAGGACCTATCGGAGCCCTTCAATACCGAACGAGGATTCAGACAAGGTGACAGTTTGTCGTGTGATCTTTTTTAACATCCTGCTGGAAAAGGTCATACGAGACGTAAAGGTGAACAGAAATGGCACTCTGTACACCAAACAACATATGTTACTCGCCTACGCCGATGTCATCGATATAATGGATCGAACATTGCGAGCGGTAGCAGCCACCTTTGAACAAATTGAGAAGAAGTCTGCCAAAGTGGGTCTGGTAGTAAACGGTGAGAAGGCCAAGCTGATGGTATCAACGCGCAAGACGTCCAGTAGACTCGGACCAACTGTGGAATTTGAGAACTACAGCTTCGAGGTAGTTAAAGATTTTTTATACCTTGGTGCCGCCATAAATAAAACGAATGGCCTCAGTTTTGAAATTCGGAGAAGGATTGTGATGGCCAACAGATGCTACTATGGTCTAAGTGAGCAGTTTAGAAACAATGCCACCTCCCACCAGACCAAACTCACACTTTACAAGACGCTGATACTATCCGTGCTGTTATATGGATCTGAAGCATGGGTACTTGTGCAAGCAGATGAGATAGCTCTTAGAGTGTTTGAAAGAAAAATTCTCCGAAAGATCTACGGGCCGATCTGCGTTGACGGTGAATATCGCCGTCGAATGAACCATGAGTTGAACCAGCTATTTTCGGACATCGACATTGTTAGACTATTGAGCCGCAGCGACTACGTTGGCTAGGTCATGTTGTAAGAATGGATGAAGATGCCCCAGCCCAGAAGACATATAAAAGCGAACCAGCTAATGGTTCACGCAGAAGGGGAGGGCCACGAATACGATGGAAAATCAAGTCGAAGACAACATTGCCGAAAATGGTCTTTCAAAATGCAAAAAACTGCGCAAAAGACCGACGCGCCTGGAAATCTTTTCTAAGCTCGGCTTATGGAACGAAAGTTCTGTTACAAGCCAGCTAAGTAAGAAATAAAAGCTGTACTGTACGTAGTATGCTCGAAATATCTGGGTTAAACAGTAGTCATACAGATATCCCACGAAGATAAATTGGGAAATTGTCAATTTGGAAAAGGATACTTTTAGAAGGATTATCAATGTTATAGTGCGTTTACATTGTACCGGATTTCGTTAACCCAGTGGGTTGTCAATTCCATTATATACATGTCAAATAAATCCTCATAAAGTAGGTTAACCTGGTAAAAAGTAAAAAGTGAGCATATTAAGAACATGTTTGCAAAATTTATCGAAGTTGTAAGAGCGAACCTTAAAAGGATAATTTTAAACGGATAATAAAACTTATAAAAACGGACCTTAAGAGCATAGTTTTAGTTATAGGAGTGAACTTTAAAAGTGTAGTTTAGAAAGGATTATCAAAGTCATAAGAGTGCAATAAGAAGGATTAACAACTTTTTTAAGCTTATTGTATGAAGTTTTTTTTTTTCAATTTTGATTAAAGCAGTGCAGGAAAACTCACATGTCACCAGTTTAATGCTGTACAGTTAAGGAATATTTATAAGATTAGTATCTCCTTGTATGCTGCTTAAGCCTTTAATACGACCCCTTAACATTTCCTTCGAACTGTAGTGTAATAACCACAACACAAAGTACGGAATTTTCTCAGATATCCTCTAATGTTTCATGTTGATTGTATGTGTAGCTGTGGTTACGATTGCAAAGTATTGGTGTTTGTGGGTGTTACATACAGTAACTGGGTTTGCTCATGGGAAACATCTGTGTGTGTGTTCGCGTATATGTGTTTGTGAACCTATTGCCTTAAGGCCTTTGGTAAAAGCTTTTAAAAGATGTGAAACGTGATAAACACAAAAGTAAAAGCAAAGAAAACACGCAAACACACAAAGACCAACCGAAGAAGTCATCTCGATTTAAATTTGATTTATTACTTGATTGCTTACTGATGCTGCTGCTCGCTATTCAATGTCGTTCATTGCGTATAGAAATGTTAATATTTGATTGTATTTAATGGGAGGAATACGCGATACGCACACATACACACAATGATTGGGTGGGCGAACAATGTTGAGGGAATTTCTATGAAATTTTTAAGATAACTTTGAACTGTAATTTAAAGTCACTTACAATTTTTTTTTGACTCAAAGGCTTTTGGTAAT